GCTGAAAGCTGACATCGCTCTCCTGCGACTCCTCTCGCCTGCCGCCCTCGATCGATTCGGTCGAGTACTCGACCTGGATCCAGGGACAAATCGTCGGCGACGATTGCAGCGAGCCCTTGCTTCCGGGTCGGGACAGACGCGGGGAAAGTCGTCTCAATAGCGACACGAGTTTCGATCTAAGACGATACTTTTATCATTCTTAGCGCGGAAAGTGTGATGAAAGAAAAATATAGTGAGAATAATTTTTCAAAATTACATGGAATTTTTTTATCAAGCGTGCCTCTTTTTTTCAAACAGCCTTCAGTGCATAAAATTGAAAATTTTGCAAAACATTTTGACGTATATCTCAATATTTTTATATATATAATCTCGCAATATAAACATCTCTCAAATACGCCAAACAAAAACTACACACCGCGTAGGTTTCAGACATTGCTAATTATTACACGTATGTATAAGTAATTTTCCGCGGCGAGATCCATTTCCGCCGAGTTGTATATGTTCATCGCATGTCTTCCGAACAAACATCGCCAGTTTTTCTTTCAACAAATTAATGGTAAACTCGTAACTCGCGTTTCCCCAGTATTCTCCTCGCTGCGTGTATGACTTCATTGCGATTCACCAGCTACATTCAATACTGAAGTTTCCCTTCCTCTCCCTGTCATTAAACCCGCTGGTTTCCTCTCTTGACTCACTTTACCGTTATACTTTTCTACTCGTCTACCGTGCGAAACAGCGGCCGCCCCGTTTCGAATGAGCTTATTATAAATTATTCGCTTTTGTTGCGTGTGCGCGAAACACGCGAGGCGCGCGAATTAGCATACCTCGTGCTCGGCGTTTGAAGATGATCGGAAGTGAGAGGCGCGCTCCTGGAGAGCTGCTCGGCGCTTCGCGTTGCGTCCCTCCAATGGAGTTGATTGAAGCCGAAAGTGACAGATCTTCCTACTCTCCAGTCCAAGCTGCTACTCTGTCTGGCTTGCAGTTCTGAAAAACCGATTGTATGTGATCCATGCGGGAATTTTAAAAGCCATAAACTTTTAGCATATATACTTTAGTTGCGGCAGAGCGACCTTATACAAATCTCATTTGAACTTTTAGCTATACTTTAGTTGCGGCAGAGCGACCTTATACAAATCTCATTTGCATATTCGCAGGAAACCACGAAATATAATCACATATTATATTTTTTATTTAATTCATATTTTCTATTGATGAAGAATAAAAAAATGCGAATTTTTTAAATAAAAAATAAAATCGATCATATACAAGTGTTATAAGTTTCGAAAAGATTCAAGAGTATAAAAATATTGAGGAGAGGAAAATTTTGTCCGGTAAAATTTAAAAGAAGTCAATTGCTATTGAGTATTTGTCAGCTCCCCCAGTTAATGATTTTATGAGTCACAGTTAATGGATTACCTTGCTCGTTGACGTTCTGGCCGACCCTCCAATCCAGAGAATTACTATTTCTATTCACGCTATAAATGTTATCACAGGATTTGGTGGCAAGGCATGTCGCGTGATGACGACGTCTCAGCAGTCTTGATACTGGTCCCAAGTTTCTACAAAAAAATTCAACATTTCTTAGGTCTACGTTTTACCTTGCATAAAAAAAAAGAGATTTTACAAACGACGCCTATGCCTTATCAGTATATAACGTAAAGTAATATATCAAAGCACATGATAAAAAAAAAATCGATCGAATGTTATCTCGGTAAAACTGATTTCGCTCTATCGCGATAAGAAGATATTCCATCTTTCGCGATAGAGCGATCGAATGAAAATGTACTAACTTCTTGAAGCGTCGCGTCTGCTCGATCGGCGGCTTGTTCTCGGCGGTCGGTCCGCTGGCCGCTTCCGGTTCCGGGCAGTAAGTGCCCACTCGCACGTGGCTGTATGTAGCGCGCAGCTGCACCCCGTCCAGCGGCCGGAAGTTGCTCCGCTCGATGGACGAGACGCGCACGATCTCGATCTTCGGCCGCGCCTCACCTCCGCTTTTCCTCTCCATGATCGACTGTTGTAGCGGCGTCGTCCTCCCTCGTCGTCGACGACGAAATCCACCGACGCGTCGAGAGTTCAATTGCTCTCGACCTTATTGCTCGTTCGATCCTCCCACATCATATCTCTCCGCATCACGGAGGGAAACCGCTGCGTCACGTCAAAGCCTTCGACATCACCTCGTACTTGTCTTCCTTATCTCTCTTCCGACTACGCTCGCACCTTACTATTTCGCGTCGTAAAATCTACTCTTTCCACTCGCTTTTACGACCCACCGTAATCATAGGAGACCAGAGAAAAATACGTTGATACACGAAATATTCGCGTATAAAGTCGCGTGTAAAACTGGAAATTCAAAGCCTACGATTTTTCATTTATATCGACGGTAGAAAAGAGATGCGCGAAGATTATTTCGATGCACGGTACACGTTCACCGTGGTATGCTTTTTCGAATTACAATGTCTCGATCGGAATGATCGACGAGATGATCGCGTTCGTCCTCGTGTCTTCTTGACACTATCCACGTGCGCAACGCTACGTCGCGGATC